CATAAGTAAATGAACACCAACAAATATTTTCATTTCCCTGGAGTTTGTTTCAATCCAAGTTAATTTACCATTCTGTTGTGCATAAGTGTTTGTATATGTAGCCATCTCCTCATACTCATTGTCTGGAAAATATTTCATAAAATAATCTAGTGGTGTTGGCATTTCTTCGGGAAAATTACGTTCTTCAAGTACTTCTAAACTAAATTTCGAAGGTACAAAAGGCTGTTTTTTCCATTTTATACTTCTTTTATCAACAAACGCTGGCATAAAATCATTTTGGTTCTCAAATGGATCTGTGATTGAATCTGGCACAACCTAACATTTAAAAATGTATTGCACATAAAAGGGAGTAGGTATCAATTGTGCAATGTATATTGGGTACTTACATCAATAACATTATCATGTTCATCAATATCCTGTGTAAGTATAAAATCATCATCATCTTGCAAATCCTGTGTAGGTATAAAATCATCACCACTTTGCAAATCAAAATCAAAATTCTCTATAAAACGATTAAATTCTTCGGATTTAAAATTTATGTCCTCTTCGTCAGAGAAATCTGATAAATCCGAATTTCTACCATCTCCTAATAATTCAAGAATATCTTCATCAAGTAATTTATTACGTGACATTTTACGAAGAAGTAAACAACAATAAGCCAATAAATAAAAATTGTAATGTTTACCTATAAAAACACTTGGTAACGAATAACGACCATAGAAAATATAATTTAATAACGAATTAACGAATAAACGAAGATACTCCAGCAGACAGTTTGTATAGTAATTGAGTGTTTTAATTTTGTTACAAAGACTAGAGAGTATACCAATTTAAAAATGAAATAAAAATATAACTATTATCATTTATCAGAAATGTGTTGATAACTTAAACGCCCAGTGGCTTCCCTGGATGCCATAATATAACCATGGTTGTACGCTTGCTCGTGAGTAATATTGACAAAATGACAGTTTATCACTATAGGAATACCTGTTTTCATGGAAGAAATGATAAAATCAGATTTTTAATATCACAATTCTTCGAATTATCAAAAAAAATAAAACTGATGAGGATTTTCAAAATTTTCAAATTTATTTTTGTATAAGCTCAAATAAACCTTTAAGTACATACACCACACGTTTGGCTCAATTTTTAATAGAATATAAATAAAATTTGCTTTTTAAAGAGATATATAACGAGTTTATACGTTATGTAAATGATTATCTATGAATTTCTCTAATACATGGCTTCCGTACGAGGCCAAGGGGACCGAAAGGGTTAATCAGAAGAACGTTTTAGAGTAATATGTTCCGATTGTTGAATTGTTATATGTTAACGTCTGTGAGACGGAGACGCCTATAATTTCATATTACTTAAGCTTTATACCATTTAAGTACTTCAGTAGGTACCCTTTAATTACGATTTACGATTTACATTGTTTATCCTCTTCAATGTTTTGTAAAAACTAAATATTGTTAAAAATGTTTTAGATTTTTAAATATATTACATATATTTTTTTTTTATTTGAGTTGAGGCTTTGATAACTGTGTTCATTAGCCGGTTACTGTAGTGGAAATTTATGTTGTTTGAACACGTGTACGCGTGGCTAGGATTTGACACTAAAACTCGTGTGGTCACGCATCCGGGAATTAGTGACACCGGCCAAAAGCCCAATACATGTTTGTGATTAAAGCCATACACTGCGTTACACCAGGCCATTTTTAAATGTTTGTTTTACGTTCTCTTGACGTTTTAGATAATATATATTATACCTATCAGCTTATCGCTATCATGATAGACATTCGATTATATATATATCAAACTTTATTGGAATTTCAAAAGTCAAAATATTCGATAGTTTTTACAATAGACTAGGTAATAAAAATTGATGATATTATGTGTCTAGTCTACAATCAGTAAATGCGTTATACACTTTATAATACATTTTCTATCTATACTTGCTAAATGGATAGTATAATATACAGATAATCCATATATCCATATTAAATCTGGATTTAAATTGTATGATTCTATTATACGTACTTCCTTACGTTTTGTAATCTACCTAATACCCAAATGTCGTTTTTACATGAAACTGTATTAGTGTTTTATTAACATCGTGAGTGTGTACTTCAATTATTAAGTATTTTTCTAAATTAATATACATTAGGTATTACTTATTATATAATAAACTATAACAACATTAATAACTGTGCCAAAAATTATGAATTATGATGATCCAGTCAGACGGTACTTCAAATATCACTCTGAAGATGAAAATGCGAATAAATCTACATGCAAAATTCAAAATTGCAATACAATATTAGCAGTAAGTTTCAATTAAATAACATATTAATAAGTCTTACAATTTACATATTATTATATATGAAAACAAGTGTGACTCAAAGGTGGAAAGTGGTCAAGTGGCAAGTACACCTTAGTTAACCCTCGATTTGAATTTTTTTTTTAATTCACGTATATCCAATATCCATGTTTTAAAAACAATGTAACAAAAAAAAAATACATATTAATATATCTAATAATACTTTAAGGGTACCTAATCATTTGGGTATTTTGAAGCGTCACTTAAAGGTCTTTCATGCATTAGAATATCAGCAAATATTATTGGAGGAAGATGAAATTAGTACAGATACTACAAATACCGTTTCTATGTCATCGATTTATTCAAATTCACCTGATTTATTTCCACCAACACAAAAGAGAGTAAGATACTAAGTTATCATCATTATTTTTAAATATTGCTTACCTATATACTTTTATATGTATATATAATTTATACTGTATTTTGATTATCTTTGATTATAGTGAAATATTAACAAAAATTTGTTGTCATTTGTAGGTGCACAGTGCAGAGAAAACAACGAACGTGTCAATAAAACGCCGGGCAGTAATTGACGGCTGTATTGAAATGGTCACAATTAATGGTAGACCCTTAAAGATAATGGAGGACTCTGGTTTTAGAAAAATAGTAGATCCCATTTTTGGATTTACTATGAACGGTGACGTTGTGCGCAATCATATTTGTATTTGGGCAAGTTTAGTCCGTCAAGCTATTACTGAACAAATGAAAAAAAAATTTTTTTTGTATAAAAAATGGACACTTCAACTAGACTCGGCCGTACTATACTTGGCATAAATGTTCAGTTTATTCATGAAGGTAGGTGCCCACAAGTTATAAATAGAAAATATAATAATATTAATTACTAGCTGAATAACCTGCCTTCGCGCGGACCATATGCAGAAGTCTCAGCCGGGACATTTTTAACAGATATTTATCTCACCTTACAATCGCCATTGTTATTATTAAATAATTACACAGTATGCATTAATAAGGCACACTAAAATATTATTTTTCTATCAATCGTATACATTTTCCTATACTTAAGGTTCAGAATTTTATAAGTCTATAGAATACCTAATTATCCTATATGTATACATTTAATATGTATAGTATATATTAGATAATTAAGATGACGCTAGACATATTATATTATATATAATATTTATTTTAAAATACCTATATCCATCAACTTTTTATTTATTCTTGTTTACTCTTTATTTTTAGAAAAAATATTATTAGGAAACTGGCTACGACAGAAGTTTATCAAACTACATCTACCAACTTAAAATGTATGCTTTTAAAAACATTAGAAAAGTATAGCTTAGATCCTGCATTTATTTATTCTATTACAACAGACAATGGAGCGAATATGTTGAAAACTGTTTCATTACTTCGGGAAATGAATAGAGACTACGACTGTAATGAAGAAATGTTTGAAAATGAATACAACTTTGAAGATAACAAAGTTCAAATCGACGACGATGAGTACAGTAATAATTTTTCTGAATGTTCTGATGAAGATAAATGATAATCATATAATAAATGAACATGAAAATAATCAAGATACATTTCCTTCAATCATCAACGATTTGGGTGCAGCAGTCAATACATCGGAGGTACTGAGAGGTATGCGATGTGCTGCTCACACTTTACAACTATCGATTCTAGATGTATTTAAAATAGAAAGTATAAAATCAACAATAAACCAATCACGGAAATTGGTGAAGACGTTGAGATTACCAAAAAATTTGGAAGCTCTCAAAAATATGAATTTAAAACGACCTATAATCGATTGTGGAACTCGATGGGGATCAACATTTGATATGTTAGAAAGTGTATTAAGATGTCAAAATTTTTGTCAGGTGTTTAGTAGACATCAAACGAGATTAAACTTAGACAGTGATTTTTGGACATCTACAAATTACCTAAAAATTGCTCTTGGACCAGCTAAAATAACTAGTTGTGTATTACAGGCTGAGCAATTATACCCAGGAGATGTTTACTTTATTGGAAAAAATGCATTACACACACGAGAAAAATAAGTAATTATTAATTCAATTATTTGTACGAGTACAAAATTTAAGTAGTTGTTTTTTATTTTATAAATTAATTGTATTTTATATTTTTTAGATTCATTTATTTCAAATAGTATCGTTGAAGCTATGCAACGCCGAGAAACTACTTTATTTAACTGTGATAGGTAAATATTAAAGTTAATTTACACGAACGGAATTCGGCAATCTATATTTGACAGCCAGACGGCGACACGGCGTGAACTAAGAACTAACGTGTAGAACGATACTGAACATTACAATGAAACTACTACACTCTGAAGTAGATAACATTATTACTGTAGTGGCGTAGCGGTTTTAATAAAAATCATTATGTTTATGATTATCGCGGTAATACATTTTGGGTTTTACCATACAAAGTCTAAAAATAAAATACTTATAATTATCGCGTGTACTCGCATATTCTTGCATTTTATAATGTGTAGGAAGACAATGTTTTTTATAATTTAAAATCGGTATTTTATCTAGTAAAATTTTGAAACCGGGACAAATCGCTGTCCCGAAACACTTTCTCGGGACACCGGGACACTTGGTTAAAAACCGGTAGTGTCCCGGCAAAACCTGGACGTATGGCAACCCTAGGTTTGGTTAGTAGTCAAGACCAAGTTGTGTTGGACATCCAAAGGGAAATTGTAAATTTTATGCAACTTCCTAGGGAAGATAAAAGCAAAAACATTATGGATATTTGGACAAGACTTAAGAAAATGTATCCATTGATGTATGAATGCGCTTTGGTTGCTTTAGCATTACCAACTACTCAGGTAGGCAACTACAGCAATGGCCAATTATTTATATAATAAAAACTATGAATTACGAATATCTGTCCTACACAATTTTATAATCTTTGATTTTAAGTAATACTCGTATTTTAGTTCCAAAAAAATATAAATATTTAAATGTTATATAGGTAATTATCATTTTAATATTATAATACCTACAGCTAATTTTTTTTTTGTTAAATAGGTCACAGTGGAACGTCTTTTTTCCAGTTTGAAATTCATATTGAATGATCAACGAAATAGGATAAACCCCAGTTTACTGGAAGACATAATGGTTGTACGATCAAACTATTTATTTGATAAAAGTTAAATATTAATCTACAGTAAATATTCTTATATAATATTTAAAGTATTCATTGATTATTATTTATTTTTTTATAGTATTTATTCATTATTATTCATTTATAGTTAAAATTGATTATTATTTATTTATTTATAGTATTTATTTATTATTATTCATTCATGGTTTAAATTGATTATTATTTATTTATCATTATTATTAATTGATTTATTATGTTCCTATATTGTTACTCATAATAACTTATTACCTATAATCTATATTATTATCATATTATATCATTTTATGTTGTCAAAAATAAATGATCGGAAAAGTAGTCAAAAGATAATTAATAACGTTATTTTCAAAGTTTGAAGAACATATTAGCTTATTGCGTTCTTCGTGTAATTGTTCAAAGAACTTAATAACTTATAACGTTTTTTTAGATATATTGTTCAAAGAACTTAATAAGTTATAACGTTTTTCTAGTAATTGTTCAAAGAACTTTATAGGTTATAACTTTTTTCTAGTAATTGTTCAAAGAACTTAATAGGTTATGATGCTCCTCATGTCAATTATTTAAAAAACTTTAAAAATTATAACGTTTTTTATGAAAAAGTTCAGTAAACTTAATAGTTAATAATGTTATTTCATATGAAGGACCAATGAGCTAAATTAAATATTTGTTTTCGTTCCATTATATTTTGGTTTATGAACAACAATAATGTTCTTTAACCGTTTTTTTTTTGGTTCCGTTCGGAAACCCTGATTAACAGTATTTTGATTTAAAATTTAAATTAAAAATGAGTAATTCGTTTGAAGCGATAGAGACAACTAAAATTCATCCTCTAACTAGGTATACACGACGATTATCAATACAGAAAGTATCGAACAAATAACGCAAATATAATAACCTGGGTATTCTTGAATGAGAAAAAAGAAGAAAAATGCAAAGGAAGATGAAAAACAACAGGTAATAAAGTTTTAAGTGTTACAACTCATAAATGTAAATATGACTTAGCAAAAATTGAAGTAAAAAAAATATATAATATTGCAAAACAACGTACACTTGATACAACATGTCCCCCTCTTAAATTTGTCGAGAAGAGTTTACACCATTATTAGAACAGGGATTAGATTTAGTGACTGACATGCCAGTTTACTCATCGGTAAAAACAACATTGAATTGCATACGGCGCAAATCACTAGGAAATGCATTGGATACTAAATAAAGAGAAGATATAATTATAACTTGCGATTCCGAATTTGTATTATTTGATGCCGGAGAAGAAAATAGGATTATAGGTTTGTGTTCAATTAAATGTAGGCAAATTGCATCTGAAGGAAAAGCTTGTTTTGTAGATGGCACATTTAAAAGTTGTAGTAAACTGTTTTACCTAATTTACACTATAGATATAGATATTGGGTCTACGAACGAATAAATAAATATAATTTCTGTGATATATAATATTACTTCCGAATAAAACAAAAATGGTTTACGAACGTTTATTTTCGATGGTTAAAACAATTTTCCAAATTTTAATCCTGAATCTTTTACATTTGACTTTGAAATCTCGACTATTTAATCAATTACACAAATATTTCCTAGTGCTAAAATACACGGTTGCAACTTTCATTTTAATCAAGCACTTAGGAGAAAAATTCAAAATATTGGATTAGCAAGTACCTACTTATAAAGATCATGCAGATATTCGATTACACGTTAGAATGTGTTCTGCTTTAGCTCATATTCCCATTTGTGACATAGATGAAGGTTGGATTATTATAATGAGTAATACACCTGATAATTATAAACTTAAATTATTTTATGATTATTGGACAGTTTTTGGAAAATCCAATTATTTCAAGGGGAATGTGGAACTGTCATAAAAGTAGACACAGAACCAATACTATTGTTGAGGGTTGGAATATTAAACTTAATAAAATATTCAATACACCGTGACCAACGTTTATGAACTTATATAGCTGTATATAGCTGTCTTAAAAAGAGACTGAAAATGCGGAACATTTATATGAAAAAAGCTACTTGGTAATGGAAGGTAAAAGGAGAAAACAATGTAAATACAATTAGACGAAAGAATTATAAAAACATTAGTAGACTATGAATTAGATAATGATTTAGAAAAAAGCTTAAAAAAATTACTTTTATTCAAAAATTAAAATAAGGTTATGTTTATTATGTACTGTGCTTCTGTGAATTTTGATTGACAAATATATTATTATGTGCATTTTTTATAATAATAAATATATTTTAATTTTTTTTTATGTAAGTACAGTGAATAGTGATTGACAAGTATATTATTATGTGAATTTTTAAACAAGCCAGTAAAAAATACTGCCAGTCCTAAGCCTGGAAAAGTGTGAAGGGAAGTTTAAATTTAATATATTTGACAAGTATATAATTATATCAATAATAATAAAAAAGTATTATATTATACCTATTAACATAAATTAAGTATATAGTACCTATATAAAATATTATGTGTCCCGGGGCGAAGTGACCGGCCGCCGTCACATGAAAGTATACCTAAAATGACGAAGAAATAACCTTTAAAGTGGGTGGTCTAACTTTTTTTGTTTTTGAGTTATGGGCAATTTAAGTTTTTTTAAACCAAACCAAAACTACCACGGATTTTTTTATGTTTCTCTGAAACTTTTCAATATTTAAAAATAAATCTCGTATTACTCAAAATAATTCAATAAATAGTATGGGTTATTTTGGTTGTGTATGATTCTACAGAATAATACCTAGAATACCTTATAAGTTTTGTTTTCATATCTTTCATAATCGCAGAGTTATACGTTGTTAATGGTCACTAATCACTGTCTTAGTTTTCTTAGAATCGAATATCGCTCGTTAATTAATCGTTAATCGTTTAATTTTATTTATTTCGGTAAATTTTAGTTAAATTGTCATTTTATTTTCTTCAGTACACTTAAGTTGTCGTGTCATTTGTACCTAGACTTGTTATTCAGTTAATAGTTTGTGAGTAAATTTGTAAAAAAAGTTTCAAATGCCAAGATTTTTTGATTTGCCTTTTGGTCACATTGCTGATATGCATTTTGTGTATGGATTTTGTAATGGCAATGCTTGAGCCGCTGTGGAAGAGTATCCGGAAAGACCTGTTTTAGGATATCGATCGTTCATCGCTATTCATAGACACCTGGCAGAGTTTGGATTAGTACGAAATCGTAATGAACAAGGTGTAATGTTGGATTTAGAATTAGAAGAAGAAGTGTTGGATATAATTACTAGGGATCCGACTACAAGTATCCGTCGCATATCTGCAAGGCCGGGTGTATCAAAGACCTCTGTATGGAGAATTTTGAAAAAAGATGGCCTTCATCCATATCATTTTCGTCGATCTCACAATTTAATATTTGGGGATAGTGCAGCAAGATTAGTTTTTTTGTACGTGGCTCCTTCGCAAACACAGAAGAACTGTGGATTTTTTGAAACATATTTTATGAACAGATGAAGCCACGTCTACCAGAACAGGTATAACTAATCACCGTAACGCACATATCTGGGCGGTTGAAAATCCCCATGTTATATGGCCAACTACATTCCAACATCAATTCTCAATTAATGTTTGGGCTGGAATGATAGACGATTTACTTATTAGACCATATGTTTTACCTAATCGGCTAAATCAAGATACTTTTTTGAAATTTTTACGTGAGATATTGCCAGTACTCTTAGAAGATGTACCACTGGCAACTCGCCAAGTAATGTGGTTTCAAATTGATGGCGCTCCTGCACATTTTGATCGTTCAGTACGTCAATTTTTGAATACGAATTATCCACAATGGATTGGACGTTGAGGTAGAATAGCTTGGCCACCACGATCTCCCGATCTAACGCCTTTAGATTTTTATTTGTGAGGATACATGAAACAGAAAGTTTATGCTGTTGTCATCGAGAGCCGTGAGCAATTATTGGACCGTATTGATATAGCAGCAGAAGAAATACGACAAAATCATGCTGAAACACAAAGGACTACACAAAGTGTTTCATTCGAGCTCAAGGTTGTTTGCAGTCAGGTGGGGAACACTTTGAAAATCTTATTAATTAATAAAATAAACATAACATTTATTTCCTTGTTTTATATTATTATTATTATTAAACTACTTTATTTTCATTTTATTTAAAAAAAAATTGACTTATTACACTATTTATATCACCTCTAGTGAGTTTATGCCTAAGTTAGACTTTATGTTTAGTAAAATTATAAATTGCCAATAATTAAAATCACAAAAGACCCGTAATGTTTAGCTGCTTATAACTCTGCGATTATGAAAGATATGAAAACCAAACTTATAAGGTACTCTAGGTATTATTCTGTAGAATAATACACAACCAAAATAACCCATACTATTTATTGAATTATTTTGAGTAATACGAGATTTATTTTTAAAAATTCCAAATTTTGATAAAAAAATTTACTTTTTTCAATTTAATAATAATAATTTACATAAGTTTGGTTTAATTGCGTATGTCGGTTGAAAGGACAATTAAATAGCTTTAAATTAAAAAAAAAAATTATGTTAAAATATCGAAAAGTTTCGGAGAAACATACAAAAATCCGTGGTAGTTTTGGTTTGGTTTAAAAAAACTGAAATTGCCCATAACTCAAAAACAAAAAAAGTTAGACCCCACTAACTTAAAGTTATTTCTTCGTCATTTTAGGTATACTTTCATGTGACGACGGCCGGTCACTTCGCCCCGGGACACATTGTATTTAGCATCTAAATCTTATAATCAGGTAGATAAATTGACCACATATAGCACGCAAAAGGTGCAAACACCGACATGGGGTTCCTTACTAATGGTTTTCCCATTAGTCTTACAACCTCTGGTAACTTCGATTCCAAGTCTCATTCACCGTAGTGCGTGTTCGGACCCCCTCGTCATCCATCATCGACCGCGCTCGTGCGTCATACCGTTCACGCTTGTCGCGTCGTTGAGTGCGTCCCCGTTCGCTGATCCAGTCCCGCTTTGTTGCTGTCAG